ACAGTGCAAAATAATCCTTCGAGCCGGATTTGAACCAGCGACCTATGGATATCAGCATTTTTACCTCCTACAGTCCACCGCTCTACCAACTGAGCTATCGAAGGCTGGTGTTTCAACCTTCCAACTAAAAACACATGACGTCAAGTTGTCAGATAACAGTGCAAAATAATCCTTCGAGCCGGATTTGAACCAGCGACCTATGGATATCAGCATTTTTACCTCCTACAGTCCACCGCTCTACCAACTGAGCTATCGAAGGCTGGTGTTTCAACCTTCCAACTAAAAACACATGACGTCAAGTTGTCAGATAACAGTGCAAAATAATCCTTCGAGCCGGATTTGAACCAGCGACCTATGGATATCAGCATTTTTACCTCCTACAGTCCACCGCTCTACCAACTGAGCTATCGAAGGCTGGTGTTTCAACCTTCCAACTAAAAACACATGACGTCAAGTTGTCAGATAACAGTGCAAAATAATCCTTCGAGCCGGATTTGAACCAGCGACCTATGGATATCAGCATTTTTACCTCCTACAGTCCACCGCTCTACCAACTGAGCTATCGAAGGCTGGTGTTTCAACCTTCCAACTAAAAACACATGACGTCAAGTTGTCAGATAACAGTGCAAAATAATCCTTCGAGCCGGATTTGAACCAGCGACCTATGGATATCAGCATTTTTACCTCCTACAGTCCACCGCTCTACCAACTGAGCTATCGAAGGCTGGTGTTTCAACCTTCCAACTAAAAACACATGACGTCAAGTTGTCAGATAACAGTGCAAAATAATCCTTCGAGCCGGATTTGAACCAGCGACCTATGGATATCAGCATTTTTACCTCCTACAGTCCACCGCTCTACCAACTGAGCTATCGAAGGCTGGTGTTTCAACCTTCCAACTAAAAACACATGACGTCAAGTTGTCAGATAACAGTGCAAAATAATCCTTCGAGCCGGATTTGAACCAGCGACCTATGGATATCAGCATTTTTACCTCCTACAGTCCACCGCTCTACCAACTGAGCTATCGAAGGCTGGTGTTTCAACCTTCCAACTAAAAACACATGACGTCAAGTTGTCAGATAACAGTGCAAAATAATCCTTCGAGCCGGATTTGAACCAGCGACCTATGGATATCAGCATTTTTACCTCCTACAGTCCACCGCTCTACCAACTGAGCTATCGAAGGCTGGTGTTTCAACCTTCCAACTAAAAACACATGACGTCAAGTTGTCAGATAACAGTGCAAAATAATCCTTCGAGCCGGATTTGAACCAGCGACCTATGGATATCAGCATTTTACCTCCTACAGTCCACCGCTCTACCAACTGAGCTATCGAAGGCTGGTGTTTCAACCTTCCAACTAAAAACACATGACGTCAAGTGGTCAGATAACAGTGCAAAATAATCCTTCGAGCCGGATTTGAACCAGCGACCTATGGATATCAGCATTTTCACCTCCTACAGTCCACCGCTCTACCAACTGAGCTATCGAAGGCTGGTGTTTCAACATTCCAACTGAAAACGCATGGCGTCAAGTTGTTCATTCTACATTAATCTCCATCAAAATGAAATTGAACAAATGGTCAGATAAATTTGAAAGTTTTGCCTGCAAATATTTATGTCTAATATTATTTAGATATAACTGTATGATTAATATATGTTTTATGGACAACATATTGGATTTTTAATAAAAAAATTTTATATACTGATTTTGCTCATATAGATATTTTACATAAGCTAATATGTATTTTTGTGTACATATACAATTTTTTTTATTATATATCATTGTTCAAACATGATCTAATAAATATATATTGAAAGTCATTTTATCAATTTAATATTAATTTGCAATAAAAATTTGTTTTATCAGCATTAACATCAAAATAAAAATATTATATATATATATATATATATATATATATATATATATATATATATATATTACATATTAATTGTTTGTGTGTGTAGTTGAAAAAAAATCTATATTGATATCGTTCAAGTGTTTTCCATTTGATAGTTAAAATACTTTTATTTTATGCGCTATGTCTATTTAATTAATCTAGTAATTTTTCTAACATAATTTTATCAATAAAAGATATCTAATACTTATTAACTTATAGATTAATTTGATTTTTTGCAGATAAAAACAATCTGATATATCATAAATAGTTCATACGGTATTTTTATAACATTCACTGATATAAAACTAAATACACACAGGTATATATATATATATATATATATATATATATATATATATGTATATATATATATATATATATATATATATATATATATATTTCTATGTGTTATATGTGATCAGGAATTTACCAGGTTGCATTGCTGATAAACCAAAATAAAAATATATTTTGATAAGGTAGCTGCCTTGATAGTGATTTGCAGCTAAGCTTTACTTACCACGTGTTTGTAATTTTCCAATGTTGTGTTTTAAATTAAATCATTTTAACAAACTAAAAACCCACCGAAACATTATAGTTTTCGTAGATTTATCATCTACGATCAACAAGAACCACCAAAATTTGAGGAAAACTGCTGATAGACTTACTAAAGAAATTAGGGCTTTCACTGGATTGGTACCTATTCAAGCCAAAGAATGCAAATGCACATCTTTTGAGATCTACTACTTACCAAAAGAATATTTTTATTCTGATTGGTTTTTGGAAAAAAAAATAAACTGAACAATTTACCAATAAGTAAATCGATGCAAGTTCCTTGGTTTAATATAAAACATTGGTATAGTTCTTGGTTCAAAAAGAAATAAATTATTTTCTTCCTACAAACTAAAATTTAATGAATGTTGATTATTTAGGGTCGAAAAAAGTTGGTTCAGAAACTTTAACCAGAAATTAAATTATTTGTTTAGTCATCTTAATAGGAAACATTTTACAAGCAATGATAATTATTTGTGATTTAAAAATGGTCTGTTAATATTATTAATAGCTTTTAATTTTGTTTATGTTTTCATAAAAGATGAGTTTAATTAGCAATTACTGGTAATTGAAAAGTCACTCATAATATAAGATGTAACTTGACTTTGACTACTTATTAGCTAAAGTGCTTGTCCATTAGCTTTACTAGTTTTAAACAAGTACTCTCTGATTTGTAAATAAACAATATCTTATATATAAAAATGAATCGCAAAATGTGTTGGTAAGCGCATAATTCAACAACGCCTTGACCAATTTGGCCAATTATTTTTTTAAAATGTTCGTTGAAGTCCAAGGATGGTTCTTACGGCGAGAAAAAAAAAATAATTGCCGGGAAAGCCCTAAAAACAGCCCTTTTCTTTTTCACATACAAACGATTTCTAACTAAAACGTAAAATCAATTTGAGCTTTATTGCTATTATATAAATGCATATTAATTTTTTCTGAATTTGTTATAACGTTTAAAAGACTTCAATTTCCAATTTAGTGTGGGAATTGAGATTTATCATTTTATTTAAATGCATTTTGGTAAGAGTAATTTAAAAAGCAATAATTGTTATATTTAGGTAAACGGTAAATATTAGTATAGGATATTAAAAAATTGTAGACGTGGGTGCAGGACAACCTCTGTCGGGTCATCTAGTATATATATATATATATATATATATATATAATATTAGTTTAGACTAGAGTATATCGACCAGGTGCGTACAGGAGGCAGTGCAACACGGGGGTCTTATCAAAAATAACAGAAGATAACCGATGAATTGATTTCGATAAATTGCCTATAAACACGTTAGAGAAAACAGTTTCTATCTATTACTAGTACTTGTCGTAGCCAAAACTATATATTAATAAAACTAAATTAAATTTAATTCTATTTTAAGCCTCTAATAAAGTGCAAAATAGAGAAGACTAGTTAATACAGTAATAGTAATAGTAAAAAAGTAATAGTAGCGAAAGTGATAACTAAAGTAGTAACTAAAATACAAACACAAGAATAAAAATATTTAATTTCATGTTAAAAATATAGATATTAAAAGTTTCTTTAGTCAAAAGTTTCCATGTAAAGTTGTAAAGACTTATCCACAATTGTCTAAAATATTCTGTTGTGTTCTGTCTATTAAAAATAGATATTAATAATCTGTGTATGTTTTAATATAACTTGTACAAGCAATATTTCGATTTATAGAATTTTATATATAATAACATATAAGTTAAAAAATTACTTAAAATTAATTTTATATTAAAATCTTATAAACCATTCTACTGATTCTATATGTAGTTGTCTTAATCTTATTTGAAATTTCCACACAAGTAATATTCGTAATGTATGTTATGAAATAACATTTTTAAAACTTCATCATTCTTAATTTTATTACTAATAAATTACTATTACTGTTTTCTAAGTAAGTCATTTTTTGTCACAAAATTATATAAATAGTTCAATAAGATCAACAAATAATTTTTGATTTTAAAATTGAAGAATTATCGACAAATCATACAATATTTGTATAACTAGCAAATAAATATATAAAATTAAATTGCTCAATAAACAAAAGAAATTATTTACTGAAGATTTATCAAGTCAATCAATGTGATTATAAAAAATACGAAAATTTAACTGAAATATATCTGGAACAACTAATACAAAAATATGCCTTTGTAAAATCAAACATTAAATTAAAAATAAATTAAAGAAGGTATTTAAACTAAAATGCTGAACTGAATTAAAAAACCAAAAAATCTCAAGCAAGTACTACAAAAATATGTATGTATAAAATCAATATAAAATAAAAATCGAAAAATATTTGGAGCAATATATTACAAAAATATGAATTTGTAAAATCAAATAAAACACCAAAAATCTATATAAAATAAAAAAGAAAAACATGTCGAGAAAGTGTTACCAAAATATGCACCTATACGCCCAAGTAAAATAGAACAAAAATCCTTTATTAACTTCAACTAAAAATATCTCGAGCAAAGTTTACGAGAACGTGTTAAACAAAAATTATTAATTATTATTTATTTTTTTATCAAATGACAATGATGTACAACAATTCAACAACTAGTGCATCGAACAATTGGACTATGTCGAATAATTATACTACCCCTTCTACGATGTATGATGAAAATTATGATAGTGGTTGGCAGATTTTTCCACCAGACTATGTTGCCCAAGAAATTGAAGACATTGTACCATTGGCACAACATCAACAGCCGCAGGAGTATTATAGAAATTATTCGTAAGTAATAAAAATAATTATATAATTAATTATATATAGTGCATTGGCAGACAATGAATGTATGTTAATTTTAATTACATGAAGTTCTTCAAACACAATCACATGATGAGTGAAGTTACGAAAACAATATTTGTTTAGGCGTTGTTTAACATAATACACTGTGTGAACGAATATTATAGAAGTTATTAATCAGCAATTACTTCATTTCTCTAATGAAGGTTCATTTCTAAATGCTAATTACAATGACAAACCGATCATGCCATATTTGAAGTATGACTTTAATTACATTATTGTTTTTAAATATTATACATATTTTTAATGCTATTATAAATATATAATTTATAATTTATTTGTACAATAACAAGTAATTTTTACTTCAAAATAATAGGTAGACATGTAGAACGTTGACATTGTAGACATTGGTAAGCAGGTAAATTGGTTGACATGTAAAATGGTGGATTGATAAACAGGTTGATAGGTAAATTAGTAGACATGTAAATTGGTAGACAGGTAGAAAGTTAGACAGATGGTCTCATAAAGTTATGTAAAATAATCGAAAGCCCATTATTAAATATATAGTTTTTTTCCTGTATAATAATAAATTTGATCTTTACAATGAATCACATATCTGACAATTAAATCAATAGGGAAATGCCCGAGATAAACTCATATAAGCATAATTATTTTCTGACTATCGATATTGATAAGACTCCGAATTTTTGAAAATATTATTATATGTGTAATCGACTTGAAAGGTTTTCGTGAATAGAATTTTCACTTGAATTGGTAGAAACAAGTGTATTTCTGAAGTTATACTCGATCATAACGAGCGCCATTTATTGCCGCAATATTTTATAGTTCTATCGATATTACTTTTAAACACGAAAGGTAATAGACATACTTATATAAAAATATATGTATATAAACTAGTGGGGTGCATGGCATCGTACCTTAAGACAAAATTGCTGGAACTTCTCATACCATAGTTAAAAATCTTGGTACGGAACCCAAAAAATTTACACATTATTAAAATCTCTATAAAATATCTGATAATTTGATTTACATATGTCCAATAAACATTTTTGACCGCCAAATGACATGTTTGTAACTTATTTTTATTGAAAGTCCATAACCGCTAGACCTGCCTTTCCAAAATTTCTATCAGTTTTTCATCTTGTCAATACAAGTAAAATGTTTTCTGAATTATTAAAATCGGACGCTCCGTTCTCTTAAAAACTGAATTACCATTTTTGGCACGTTTTGCCCCGTATCGTCGGAACGGCTAGACCTGCCTTCGCCAAAAACTAATCAGCACGTCTCCTTATCAATACGAATTGAATGTTTTTTTTGAATTATTCAAATCGGTTGATTGGTGTTCCCGAAATCGTCGATGAAAATTTGTATCCGCACACACATAACGCACACACACACATACATCCATTTTTTTCAAAGGTATACCAAAATATTCAGAAACCTTTGAAACGTAAAGATATATAAAAATTTTCATTTTCGATTTTCTTGCGATTACTATAACTTGCCCTACGGGAAGTTAATAATATACAACCAAAAGTTTTTCTCTGATTATTAAAATATCTTCTGGCGTTAATAAATGTAATACATTTATTTAACTTATTCCATTTTCAGTTTTGTCATGATGAAAGCATATAAAAATTAATGTCGTGTTTAATCTATCTCGAATAAAATAGACATGTAAATTCCATTTTCGTTAAATTTTATGAAACACGCAATAACTGCCTCATTTCATTAATTGCGGTATATAAAAGTTTTTCACCAGCTTCGTGAATAACTTGTCCATTTCTACCAATTCATATTTTATATATATATATATATACATATATATATATATATATATATATATATATAATTTTTATGAGAATTTTAATAATCAATTTGTTTAACAATTTCAATTCTCCCTCAAAATTATTAATTATAAAATATAAAACACCACCAATTTATTCCAAGAAGCACTGTAATATACAACAAGTTTGTGACCTGAAATAAATCCTTCCTATATTTTATTGTATCCTGAATGTATATAAATATTTTTTAAAACGTTTAGAGTCCTTTTCCTTTGTCGGACATAACTCCAGTCACTTCCGCCTAGGATTAACGCACTTTTAAGAAGTTTCCTTAGAAGTATTGAAATCTGTTTGTGTATTTAAGAAGCAATTATTATTATTATATGCATACTTTTGTAATCTTTGGTCCGGCAATTTTCTAGTCAATAAACTCTTTTGAAAATCCGGTCAAAAATATAATAACCGGTAATCGTATGTGCTTTGTGCCAAAAATTTTACTAAATTCCAGTTTAAAAGACTTTTTATAAATCAGAATGAATATAAGGCTCAGAGGCTGGATGTATTTTAGAAGGATCAGCTGATCTATATCGGAACTGTTAAGATGCATATAGTTTTTGGCAAATTAATATTTAATATATAAAGAACCGTTTGTATTGAGGTAGATCTAATTTTGCGAAACTATTTCTAGTTGACTGATCATAAAATAATTATTGACTGATCATAAAATAATTTTATAATATATTATATTGTTAATTTCATTCGTCTCTATTGACACAACTCATCTCTAATTACTCGTTTCTTTTGTTAACTTTGTTCGTCTCTATCGACATACCTCATCTCTAATTACTCGTTTCTTTTGTTACCCTCGTTCGTCTCTATCGACACACCTCATCTCTAATTACTCGTTTCTTTTGTTAACTTCGTTCGTCTCTATCGACATACCTCATCTCTAATTACTCGTTTCTTTTGTTAACTTCGTGCGTCTCTATAGACACACCTCATCTCTAATTACTACTTTCTTTTGCTAACTTCGTTCGTCTCTATTGACACACCTCATCTCTAATTACTCGTTTCTTTTGCTTACTTCGTTCGTCTCTATTAACACATCTCTAATTACTCGTTTATTGTCTCTTGTATGTGTGAAACGCCTGATACCACATCAAATATATAGAATTTTGATAGTTTTTAGTAGTATTTTGTATGAAAAACACAGCGTGACATAGTCTGGTCATAACTTTGGCCTATTATACAGCAGAATTGGCCCAAAAGTATTTTTTTAAGTGGCAAAAAAAATTTGTCAAGATTAAGGCTTAGGCCTTGCCCGAAGTCATTAGACTGTTATCCAATTAAGTGATTCGTTTTGATGGTATTTGGAAAAAACCTTGTTTGATTGGAAAACCTGGACTGCCATTGGAATTTTTTTATTATTTTATAAGTACTCATTAGATCTGCCGAGAAAAAAATAGTCTCGAATGTAGGAACTTAGTTGCATTTTTTCAATCCGGGAGTAGTAAATGGTAGATATGAAATTCTTACTATATTATATGTTATATATGAATGTGTGTGTATCCATCCAGGTAAGGTAATTTTGTCATTACGAGGATGGTTTTGTCTCCAGATGTCGACACTAGCGCGGTTCCCACACATAACTCATGGGGTTCTAATTGGAATCTCTTGGAGTGGCAGTGCCTGGCGCTGCCTGCCTATCCACGCGAACACTCTACTTTCTTTTACACATTTATATACATACATACATGTACATATATATAATATATATATATATATATATATATATATATATATCCGACTACAATTGTTCTTAGAATAAAATGTGTGTTATCATTGAAAATTTTGTTGAGCTAATAAAATAATGAATAAATCTAATAGATAGCATCTATGCTACCAACAACTTTAAAACAAAAAAAAATATTATCTCAATTTTGTTCATGGGAGTCATTCTCAAGAAACTTTTTTCACTGAAACAATAGCCCACCAGAAAATTAATCCAGCGAATTTTTGAATAAAATTCTTCAATTCATTTTTCTTTCAAAATTTTATTCCTTCAGCAAAGTTTTTTTGGAACGACCAAAAAAAATCATTTACGCTATATAACCCAATAGCCTAACAAATTGAACTACCCTGATGTATTATATTCTTTTTAACTTTTCGAAGAAGTTCATGTTTTCTCCAGAACATCCAACTTGCTAATTCTATGTTCTCGATGTTTCAAGTCATTCTGTATCATTTGAAACCAAAATTGGAAAACGTAAAAGTGAATCAAACTTGGCATTTCATGGATGTTTTTAAACATTCCTACTTAAACTTGTAACAAATCCCTCTAATTAGTAATGTATCGATTTATACAAATGTTGTCTATTGGATCAGGTGACCCTCCATTCGATGGAGTTGGGGTCTATACGTAATGTAAATTAAAAAATATATAAAATCCAATAAAAAAGGCAGGTGCGATCTGAACCGATAATACATTTCATGTTTTTGATAATTGAAGGGTTTACCATATGGTCTGGAGAGGGTGTTTAAATGAACAACGTTTATGACTGATGCACATGTGTGCCTTGATAACCGATATTATGGATACGAAATAATTTTTATTTGTTATCAATGATTTATTAAATGATACATGATACTAGGTCCTGCATATATTTATATACCTCTATCGTAAACTTACCAACTCGCATATTTTGTTTAAGTTTATATATCAAGACCTATTGATGATTCTGATCAATGTAAGAAAAATTGCATTGATAAACTTAGATATTTGGTACGTCTTAGGAAAATTTGATCACCAGATGTTTTTTTCCATTAACTTTCAGAAAGAGATATTGTTGTTTTCACCAGAAAATCCGATTTGCTGATAGATTTTTTGTTTTTCTTGAAGTTTCAAGTTTTTCTCAATTGAAGCTAGTGCAATTTGCACCTTACTTTAAAGCAATTACTTGAACTTGCTAAAATGTGTAAATAATCGACTTTAAATATTATAGTTTTGAATTAAAAATATATAAATGTTTAAGTATGCCGAGTTGTTGTAGATCATTACACATAAAAGTTTCGTTTGAGATGACTCCCATGAACAAAATTGAGATAATTCGACCCATTGACCCATCTTATT